ATAATCACTTGTTTTGCACCATGGTAAGAGAACATATGTAGGCGACCATTTCGAAATGTCAACACTTGGATTGCTTCAGTTTATTTCTGGGTACTTTTTGATATACATATACATAAATATACAGGTATATATATGAATTAATGGATTTTTTTCATTTTTTTTATCTTTTTATGTGTATTTTTGTATCTATATCTTTCTTTCTATATCTATTTATATATATATATATTTATATATATATATATATATATATATATATATATATATATATATATATATATATATATATATATATATATATATATATATATATATATATATATATATATATATATATATATATATATATATATATATATATATATATATATATATATATATATATATATATATATAATTTTAGGCAATACATTTTTCATACTACTAAAATGTCAATAAAAGTCACCACAGAGTTAACTTTCAACTTTAAAAAAGTTGACAATGCAGAGATAATAATTCATTAACATTAAATAAACTGAAAAAGCCTGCAACAAACGGAATCTTTTAAATAACAGATTTTTATTTGACAGTGTTATTTGATTTTTTTTTGCTATAAAGTTCAAGTCATTTTTGACCCAATACCATCGTCAAAAAGTCTTAGTATTATTAGTATTTGGTCATCGATTGTGGGTCATGCAGGGTGTGTATAAATAGCTTGCAGAGGAACGTCTAGTCGTTTCTTGTTTGAGTAGCTCTTGTTGGATGGAAAAACCTAAAAATCTAGCCTAACCTGAGTAACACGACCTCAGAGAGCTAAACCAGCAGGATTGGCCTGGACTGGAGTGCGTTTATTTCATGTGTTCAAGTTTTCATTCATTTGTTCATTCACTTTGCTCTTATATACTTGTTATAGCATGCATAACATATCTAGGAACTGAAATAAACAACATGCATGCATATATACATATATTTTTTTATATAATATTTTTACGGTAGACTTTTTTAAAATTATTGTTCTAATAAACATTTTGTTTAAAATGCTTAACACAATGTAGGCGAAAAGTATCAACAAAAATGTATTAAAAGTTTTTTCTCAGAAAATAAATCTGAGATGTAAATCTAAATGTAAAGTTACATTCGTTTTTAAAAGTAATATTATATGTTAAATTATATGCTGTACTATTTCATCTTAAAAAAATATTTTTTTTATTATTATTAAATTTTAATCTTATTTTTAATTAATTATTAATTTTTTTATTTATTTTTTTGCTTACAATACTGACCACAAAATGTTGATCTAGTCTCACAGCACGAAGGCTGCTGGTTCGAGTCCTGGCTGGGCCAGTTGTCATTTCTGTGTGAAGTTTGCATGTTCTCGCCATTTTGGTGTAGGTTTCCTGTGCTCCGCTGTCCCCCACAGTCCAAAGACATGCGCTATAGGTGAATTGAATACATAAAATTGCCGTAGTGCATGAGTGCATTTCAATATGAGTGCGTATATGTGTTTCCCAGTACTGGGATGAGGCTGGAAGGGCATCCGCTGCATAAAACATATGCTGGATAAGTTGGCGGTTCATTCCGCTGTGGCAACCCCAGGTTAATAAAGGGACTTAGCCGAAAAGAAAATGAATGAATGAATGAAATATCATTTCTTAAGAATCTAAATCTGCTTTTATTATAGCCAAACTAATAATATTTTCTACAGAAAAAAAAAATATATTAATAATATAAAATATAAAATTCCATGATACTTGTAAGAAGCATTTGTTTACCTAGAGATAAGATTTGATTCTATGTTAAATATATAAATATAATAAATGTATAATGTAAATGTATAAATATATAATGTTAAATGTGCAACAAAATTCATTTGTTCATTCATTCATTTTCTTTTCGGCTTAGTCCCTTTATTAATCCGGGATCACCACAGCAGAATGATCCGCCAACTTATCCAGCATAAGTTTTACGCAGCGGATGCTGGCCATCCCTGGGAAACACCCATACACAGTCATTCACATACATACACTACGGCCAATTTAGCTAACCCAATTCACTAGAGATGTGTCAAGATCTCGTATGATGAGATCTCGCAAGATTAAATCACGACGAGATTTCTCGTCAAAGTGAAAAGTTGTCTTGTGAGTTGTGATGTTATGGTGGAGCGTGAGGGTAAAATTAGCATACACACACACAGACACACACACAGAGTTATCTCCTCGAGACTAGTCACATCATCATTACTGAACACACGTTTATGCTGTCTGGGAGATGCTTTCTTTTCATTAGGCGAGCGGTATTAAATTACATTAAAACAACAACTCTTTCCTATCAGTCCTTACTTCGATGTCACATCCAGTACCTCAGAGTGAGTCAAATAAAAAAATCTAATTTTAATGAAAAAATTAAGTACCTAAAATTACAAAAAAAAATTAACCTCAATCTGTTGCAAGGAGTTTGATTTCTCATGTGAGGTCAGTCAGTAGACTTTATAGCTAAATAAACTATTGCAGTTTTTGCATGTCCATTAGGGCATATAATTGAACAAAATATAAATAAAATACCATTCATTGCTATTTTTTTTTTTTTAAAAGCACCTAAATTGTTTTGCAGTTTGTGATTTTTTTTTCTTCAGTTTATTTAAAATGTATTTTCATGTATTAGCAAATATTTAGATATTATTTAAAACTATATGCAAAAAGATTTTTTCCTATTCACATATGAGCAAAATGTTTTTGCATGTCCTTTACAGCATATAATTAATTAAAATGGAAGTAAAATAAAATTAATTTCAAGTTAGTTTAAAAAAGCAACTAAATAGTTTTGCATTTTGTGATTTATTTAGTTTTTTTTTTCAGTTTAATAAAATACTTTTTTCCATTCATATATTTCATCATCGAAGATTTGTGTAAAAAATAGTATTAAAATATTGTCTCATCTCGTTCTCATGAACCCAATCTACACGAATATGCAGAGAACCTGAAAACTCCATACAGAACAGCCAACTGGCCCAGCTGGGGCTCAAACCAGCGATCTTCTTGCTGTGAGGCGATCGTGCTACCCACTGCACCACAGCACCGCCCTTCTGCAACAAAACACATGTACAAATCATTTGATGACTCAACTTTTTTTGATTACTTATAATCAAAAAATTACGTATCGCAGTACTTATTTAAAATGAGTTGAAACTACACAGTTCTTACAGGGCAACTTAATATTTTTGTACAAATTTAAGTGGATTGAACATAAATCATTTTTCTAAAGTTAACTTAATAGATTTGTGTTGGAACAACATGAAGGAATGTGTAAAACCAGGCATTTTGTATACTTGTTTTGCTTTTTTAAGTGGAGGGTTCCACGCAATTCATTCTATCTGTCCCAACACAAAACACATTAAGTTAACTATTAAAAATCAAGTGGATTGAACATAAAACAGTTAAGTTGTCCCCTCAAAAAATCGCAATAATTGTGTTCTTTCAGCTCAATTTGATAAGTATATTAAACAAGCAGTAAAAAAAGGCATGGTGGCTCAATGGTTAGTACTATCGCTATCGGTTCAACACAATTCCTTCATGTTTTCCCAACACAAATCGATTAAGTTAGCATAATAGTTCTTTATATGAATTTAAATTGATTGAACATGAATTAATCAAGTTGTCCCCCCAAAAAAAATTTAAGAACTTTGTTGTTTCAGCTCATTTCAAATAAGTAATTTGAACAAGCAGCAAAAGCATACATTATTTGACTGTACGATATGGTCAAACATGTTTCCGTGTTTACAGTAACATCCTAAAGATGTCTGTTAATGCCACTGAAATCCCGCCGGTGTGTTTCTCCTCCAGGTGCAGTGTGTTGCTATGGCTGCGGTGGTGAAGGCGACCACCAGGGAAATGGCGCTCATTAACCCAGATGATGATTCATCTCCATCCTCTGCGCTCCCAGAAGACTCCCCGAAGCCATCGCTGGGCCCAAAACCACACCTCATGCCAAAACCATTCACCCTGCAAAGAAACCCTACCGTCCGCTCAATCCGAGCCCCAAAAACCAATTTCACAAAACACCTCCAGCGAGCCTCGTCTTCGGAAACACTTCTGGATTACACCAAGCCTAAAGAAATCACACCAAACGCAAACGGCACAGTAAACGGGTCCGCTTCTACACCCCAAAAAACAGACTTGATAGATAAACCAAAAAGCTCTGAGAGCAAAAATGCAGACGAAGATGTGCAAAAAGTTCAATTCAGAAGCAGAGCAAAATCATTGAGCTCTCAAAATGAGACTTTAAACAAACAGAAAGCGCATGATGGCGAGTCTGAAACGGATGGCAAAGTGTCTCCACGATGCTGGCCGGCCCGAAATCGTCTCTCTGTCCATCTGACGTCCAAATTCGAGTCACCTGAGACTGCTATTAGAAATGATGCTCAAATCCACAAGGCGCCACTTTCTCCACCTGCAGTGTCAGAGTCCAAACCTGCGGTGGATAAAAAGGAAATGTTAGACGAAGAGATGAGCGGAGGCAGCATTAAACGAAGGATCAGCCTCCTGTTTGACCGATCTGCAGCGTCTCAGCGCCGGGACGCTGTCAACAGAAGAGACGTCACTCCTGCTGAAATAACTGTTGACATTAAACAGAGAATCCAGAATCTGAGCTTGGACTCGCCGAGGACGCGCTCGCCATCCACTGGAGCTCCTAAAAGGTTAGTGAACCCGCATGATCTGCTTTCTTCTCTCTTTTTTATCTTCATAATATTTGTAATCAAAATAAAGTGTGTTCAAGCAGGGCTCATTTGAGAGAACTGTCATTGATCTCGTTCCTCACTTCATAATATTAATATATGCAGTTGAACTATTAGCCCTCCTAAATCCTGTACATTTCTGTTTAATGGAAAGGAGATTTCGTCAACACATTTGTAAACATAATAACTCATTTCTATTAACTGATTTGCCATGATGACAATACATATTTTACTAAATATCTTTCAAGATACTACTATTCAGCTTAAAGTGACATTTAAAGGCTTAACTAGGTTAAAGTTAGGGTAATTGGGCAAGTCATTGTATAACAGTGGTTTATTTTGTAGACAATATGAAAAAATGCTCAAGGGGGCTAATAATATTGACCTTAAAATAGTTTTAAAAATGTAAAACTTTTATTTTATTAAACTTTTAAAATACTTTTAAAACTCTTATTCTAGCTAAAATAAAACAAATAAGACTTTCTCCAGAAGAAAAAGTATTATAGGAAATACTGTGAAAAATTCCTTTCTCTGTTAAACATCATTTGCGAAATATTCAGAACAGGGAAAAAAATCACAGTACATGGAGCTCAGTCAAAAACTGTAAAGTCCTGGAATTTAACGTTTGATATTGCCAAATCCTTTGTTTCTTTCTTCTAATGTACAGCTTTTCTGATTATATATTCATATATATATATATATATATATATATATATATATATATATATATATATATATATATATATATATATATATATATATATATATATATATATATATATATTGATTTTTGATCCAACAAATTTTAATGTTACAAATAAACTCCATAATTTAACAGTGTGTTTTTTTTATTAATATTCATAGTAGTTTAAATATTAATATTTTATAGGAGATAAAAGATAATATGGCAATAATGTTTAATGTACAGTACATTTGATATTCATTCATTCATTTTCTTGTCAGCTTAGTCCCTTTATTAATCCAGGGTCGCCACAGCGGAGTGAACTGCCAACTTATCCAGCACATATTTTTGCAGCGGATGCCCTTCCAGCCGCAACCCATCTCTGGGAAACATCCACACACATTCACAAACACACTCAAACACTACCAACAACTTATTCATTCATTCATTCATTTTCTTGTTGGCTTAGTCCCTTTATTAATCCGGGTCGCCACAGCGGAATGAACCGCCAATTTATCCAGCAAGTTTTTACGCAGCGGATGCCCTTCCAGCCTCAACCCATCTCTGAGAAGCATCCACACACACATTCACAAGCACACTCATACACAATGGACAATTTAGCCTACCCAGTTCACCTGTACCGCATGTCTTTGGACTGTGGAGGTAACCGGAGCACCCGGAGGAAACCCACGCGAAGGCAGGGAGAACATGCAAACTCCACATAGAAAAGCCAACTAAGCCGAGGATCGAACCAGCGACCTTCTTGCTGTGAGGCGACAGCATTACCTTCTGCGCCACTGCATCGCCACATTTGATTTTATAATATAATATTTTGTATGATAGCATTAAAGTGCATACCTGTTATGGATATAAATCAACAGCAATTTAGTTGCATCTGTTAATATCACGCCAATAATTACCTCAAAATGGAAGGTGATCAGGGACAAAAATGTTAAGTGAAAAATGAAATTCCCTGTCAAAACAGTCCGTTTTTTTTTTTTACGTTTCATTCATTCATTCATTCATTCATTTTCTTTTCGGCTTAGTCCCTTTATTATTCTTTGGTCGCCACAGTGGAATGAACTGCCAACTTATCCAGCACATATTTTAAGCAGCGGATGCCCTTCCAGCTGCAACCCATCTCTGGGAAACACCCATACACACCCATTCACACTCATACACTACAGACAATTTAGCTTACCCAATTCACCTGTACCACATGTCTTTGGATTTGTGGAGGAAACCGGAGCACCCAGAGAAATCCCACGCGAACGTAGGGAGAACACGCAAACTCCACACAGAAACGCCAACTGAGCCTGCCGAGGCTCGAACCAGCCTCTTTCTATGAGGTGACAGCACTACCTACTGAGCCACTGTCGCCCTTAAACATGTTTCTTTAGTACTATTTTATGTCAGGCAATATATAACATCTGATGTTTGCATTCTAGACCATTATGATGCGCGTCATAAATAAACAGGCTCTTTGATGTTTGTATATTGATATTATCATGTCACATTTGCAAATATGGTCTCGAATACAAGAGTTTTATCTGATGCATTAACATGCTCAAACTAAATGTGCTGACACAATCAAATGTAATGCGTTATGCTTTTGGCCCCTGATCGCTTTTCATACCTCAAATTTAGTTGATGTTTCATAAAGTGCAGATTCCTTCAGAAAGTAAACAATTGGCTACCTTCGTGAGTGCAGCTAATTTGCATACATATTTACATATTTGGTTTCTCACAGGTATCTTTTGAATATTTCTCTACTGTGTTTTTAAATAGTATGAAACAAAGAACCTTTCCCCAGGTCTAGTCCATTTTAATTAGTAGCTTGAAATTATTGTTTGGGAAATCACTGAACTCTTTTGTTTTCTTTATTGTTGTTGTCAAAATTATAAAAATGGCCTGTGATAGTTTCAAAGCATCGGAAAGAAAACTATAACCCATTCGTTTTTGAATATTCTATGCAAAAGTGTGACGACATGCTGTTTATAATGTTATTGACCATTTGTTTCATCACGATGTTGCGAACAAACCTTGGTATTCTAGTAGTTCACAATGTTTTTAATAGACTCAAAGAATGCATTTAGTGAAATTTTAAAATTGTTATTAGGACTGTATTTTTCAGTATTTGTGATTGGTTTATTGTATTTTATGTAGATATATTACCTTACTAAAGCATCCCAATCTATTGTATCTAAAATGATGATTTTTTTTTTTTTTCAAATAGACCTGTTTATTTCATCTGGTGAAATTAAATTTAGTATCGCAATTTATGTTGTATAAAAAATTACAATGCCGGGTGACACAGTGGCTCAGTGGTTAGCACTGCTGCCTCAACGCAAGAAGGCCACTGGTTCGAATCCCAGCTGGGCTAGTTGGCATTTATTTTATTCTTTTCTCTTTTTCTTTTATTTATGTATTTAATTTTTTTTTTTTTTTGAGGGTGGGGGGTATGTACAATTGCAAAATGTTTGTGAATATATATATAAGGATCCTCCACATTTTACTTATGCAAAAAAAAGAAAAGATTTTAATCAAAACATTTTCTTCTATAATTGAGTACAAGTGATTATGATACAATGACATGTTTATATATATATATACATATATATATATATATATATATATATATATATATATATATATATATATATGTATATATATATATATATATATATATATATATATATATGTATGTATGTATAAGTGCTGTCAAAAAATTAACTAATTAATCGCACCTTTTAAAAAAAAATGAATCGCGATTAATGGCAATTAAAATACTGAAACTTGTCATTTTGGCTATTTAAATGTAAAATGAATGTGAAAGCAAGATAAAAAAAAAAATATTTAAATTCAAAATATTATTGTTTAATAGAATTTTTGTTTAACTTGTAACACAGATTTCTTCATGTAAACAACATACCCACAATAAACCATCAAGATCCTGGCTTGACAGCCATATTTATTACAGAAATTAAAACACAGTCATGTTAATGACATTTAAATTTCAAAACAATCAATGCCAATAAAGAAAACATTGATTTCCATGTTGGATTCTAAGTGGACTGCAAAAAAATGCCAAAATACAGGAATTGCAGATATGGAGAATGAAAAATTATAATAATAAACTATAGAATACAAACAGTTGCACTCATTGTAAAGTTTTATTGCTGTGAGTTGAGAACATTAGTTTTAGAGTAGAAACAATTTTGCTTAATCCTCCTTTACATTCATCCAGTTGCTAAGGAGTATCCCGCAAGTGCACAGAGACTCCCAAATGCCCGCAAACGAATGATAATTTCTTGCAAACCGGTCGTTAAATACATTGCACACCACTCTCGCCCCTACTCAGATACGTCGCTCACTCCACCCCTGACACCCCTCAACGGGCCTGACACAGACACACACACAACACGCTGCAGACGTTTTGGCCCCAACGGCCTTCCATACTGGAGCGACTCCCCTCAGATTCAACACGCATGATCATGTTCATCAAATTTGCTTAAACTAAGCGTCCTAAAGTATTACTGTATTTCACAAGGATTCTGACATAACAACGCGAAGCATACGCTTTCATTGCGTTTAATGAGGAAACATGCTAAACTTGGAGGGCTCATGTTGAAAGTCAGAGTAATGCCCCGTCTTTGACAGCTCGCGACTTCACCAGAGACGTTCTGAGTACGTTCACATAAGACACCAATACTCCGATTTTAATAGGATTAAGATTATACTCTTATTAAAATTCTACCGTGTAGCCTTAAAAGGAACCTTACCTTAAAGGAACACCAAGTCACGAAATGCGGAGGATTTTCTTTCTGTTTGCCATGCGGTATCAACTTACAACAGATGTCGAAAGTTAAAAATGAAACACCCGAAATTGCATGAAACTCTGGAGAGCCTGGTGATGCGACTAATTGTTTTATACTGAAACTTGCCTTCAAAAAGTGCTTCCTTGGTCTTATCCACATTTATTGCAGTAAAAAAAACTGCAACTGCGTTAATTGCGTAAATTTTTTAAAGCGTTATTTATTTAAAATTAATCGCATGCGTTAACGCGTTAATTTTGACAGCGCTAGTTTTAATCTATTTACACAAAATGTCTTTGTAAGACACAATCTTTAGTTAATATCACAATTAAGCAATTCCATGCAAATGTCAACCTTGCCATTAACAAAATTACATTTTAACCAAAATACAGAAACTGTCTCTGTTTTTTTTGTGTAGGCAAGTATTTTACAGTGCTTTAGAAATACTCAAAAATGCCTCTGTCAATGTTTTCAAACTATTATATTTTATTTTTGAAGTCACACAAGTGCCAATTTCACATCTGTCACATCCATAATGGCACTTTCTTCTTGTAAATCCAGCATGGTGGTCCAGTGGGTAGCCTCAAAGCAAAAAGGTTGCTGGTTCGAGGCCCGGCTGGATCAGTTGACGTTTCTGTGTGGGGTTTACATGTTCTCCCCGTGTTCGTGTGGGTTTTCTCCAGGGGCCTCATGTATCAATGCTGCGTACGCACAAAAGCTTTGCGTACGCCAGGTTTCACACTCATGTTTGGATTTACTAATGATGAAATGAAAGTGAGAATGTGCGTTGGTCCACGCCAAATTCATGCCTGCCGTACGCACAATTCCTGTGTGTGTTGTTTTATTTCCTTTGGCGACTTCTAGAGACAGTTATGTTAAATTGTACACTACAAATTATCTTTGAGCTGTGCAATAATAGCTGTATGGGACGGGATCATCTGCATGTCTAGCAGGTATATAAGGTTTCCATACCATACAGTTGACCAGCCAAACATTAAAGCGCAACTTTCAGCGATCGCCAGTTTCATCCAATGTCATCGGAGCAATCGACTGCACGCACATTGCTATAAAGGCGCCATCTGAAAACAAATATACATACGTGAATCAGAAACATTTCCATTCAATAAATGTGCAAATAATATGTGATGCTCAAATGCGCTTAACATAATACACACGCTTATTAATGATTCCTACTTGTCTTCCTCGTGATGAAGAGTAGGCAAAATCTGATATGTAATGGGGGAAAAAAGAAAAATAAGTTAGTCAGACACTGGTTTCAAACCGGGTTCAGGAATGATAGTGTCAGAACATGTTGCCATGCGCTTTATGAGCTACGCCACTCGCGCTGCTGAAGACTGCTCAACTATCACTCTATTACCTCATTCCAACGAGGTGTCCAACGAGACCCCGCTGCATTACCGCGTCAGCTAAACTCTCCAATTAATTTTTTTTCTTTTGTTATTAATTCCGGAGGACAAACCTGCAAATAACACTGCTTCTCTCCAATCTACCTCCGATAGGCGCACTTCCAATTCACATCCTGTTTAAAGGTTCTCTTTTTGCTTGCTTTTGCCATTGCTTCTTCGTTTGGTTTTGCCAAAGTAGAGTCATTAGCATATTCATACAGGGGAGGAGGCAGGGAGGGGTTTTGTGCTCGTGCATGTTGCGCTCAGTTTCACGTTCATTCAGAGTAACAAAGAGAATATGCGTGGGATTCGGCATATGCAGCGTTTTATACATCTGAATTTTAACTGCGCACTTTTACAGTTTTGTGCGTACACAATGTTTTAGTATGATTTCAACGCAAGTCTTCGCACATGAGGCCCCAGGTGCTTCGGTTTCCCCCACAGTCCAAACACATGCAGTATAGGACAATTGGACATAAATAAATTCAATAGGGAGTAAGTTATATAAGCTAAACAGTGTTGCCAGATTGGGTGGGTAACCGCTGTTTTGAACATGATTGTGCATAGGCGGGTTTAGAAAATTTGGGCGGTGCAACGGATATTGTTTCAATATAATGTAACATGTACTTTCTATGGTAATTTATCTTTTGAGTTTTTACTGCTAACGTCACATCCGTAATGCTGGAATTACTCAATTATGTTTATGTATGATTTTGATTGCCAAAATGCAATGTATTTAGCTTATTACTTAAACTTTACTTATGCAACATAAGATCATTTTAATAAATTAATTACAAGATTTTCCCATTTGATCTTTTGTGGTCTGTTTTTTCTTTTTGGCACTATGGTGTCTTTACTTTCAAATCTCTAACATCTTTTGAAACATCTATTTGCAGTCCAACATCTGAGAAGAACCAGAGCTCCTCAGATGAGCTGCTGAATGAGAGATCATCAGAAAAAGTGGAAACAGAGACAAGTATAAAACCATCAAGAACAACAGAAAATAACACTGCTACATTTGTGGAAAATAGAGAAGAAAATGATGATGATTGTGATGATGATGATGATGATGGAGAAGAAGATATGGAGAACTCTGTCATTATGCCTGTTTACAGACGAGTTGGATTAAGCTTCGATGCAGAGAAGAAACGAAAGGAAGAAGAAGAAGAAAAACAAAAAAAGGATGAGCAGTTAGAGAAGGAAAGAAAGCAACGAAAAGGAGAGGAAGAGAAAAAGCAAGAAGTGGAAAGACAAAGGCAGATAGAAGAAACAAGAAAGCAAGAGGAAGAACTAAAGAGAAAAATGGAAGAAGAAAGAAGACAGGCTGAAAAAGAAATAGAGAGACAGAAAGAGGAGGAAAGAGCGAGAATGGAGAAACAACAGAAGGAAAGAGAACTGGAAGAAAAGAGACGAAAAATTCAGGAGATGGAAAGACAGAGAAAAGAAGAAAGACAGAGACAGGAACGAGAAAAAGAAGAGAGGTTGAAGAAAGAGAGAGAAATTGAGGAGAGGAAACGAATTGAGGAGGAAAGACTGCGACAAGAGGAGCGATTGAGACAGGAACGAGAAAAAGAGAGGGTAAAGAAAGAAAAGGAGATGGAAGAAGAGAGACAACGGGTCCAAGAGCTGGAGAGACAGAAAGAGGAGGAAAGACGGAGGAAAGAAGAAGAAGAAATGGAGAGAATTAGGAAAGAAAAAGAAATTGAAGAAGAAAGACGAAGAATTCAAGAGTTGGAGAGACAAATGGAAGAGGAAAGATTGAGAAAAGAACAAGAAATGGAGAGAATAAGGAAAGAAAAAGAAATGGAAGAAGAAAGACGAAGAATTCAAGAGTTGGAGAGACACATGGAAGAGGAAAGATTGAGGAAAGAACAAGAAATGGAGAGAATAAGGAAAGAAAAGGAAATGGAGGAAGAAAGAAGAAGAATTCAAGAGTTAGAGAGACAGAAAGAAGAAGACAGATTGAGAAAAGAGAGGGAAATTGCGAGATTAAAAAAAGAAAAAGAAATGGAAGAAGAAAGACGAAGGATTCAAGAACTGGAGAGACAGAAAGAGGAAGAAAGACTGAGAAAGGAGCAAGAAATAGAGAGAATAAAGAAAGAAAAAGAAATTGAAGAAAAAAGACAAAGAATTCAGGAATTAGAAAGACAGAAAGAGGAAGAAAGACTGAGAAAAGAAAGAGAAATGGAGAGAATAAGGAAAGAAAAAGAAATTGAGGAAGAAAGACTGAGAATTCAAGAGTTGGAGAGACAGAAAGAGGAAGAAAGACTGAGAAAGGAGCAAGAAATGGAGAGAATAAAGAAAGAAAAAGAAATGGAAGAAGAAAGACGAAGGATTCAGAAATTAGAAAGACAGAAAGAAGAGGAAAGATTAAGGAAAGAAAGAGAAATGGAAGAAGAAAGACAAAGAATTCAGCAGTTGGAGAGACAGAAAGAGGAGGAGAGAATAAGAAAGGAAAAAGAATTGGAAGAAGAGAGGAGGCGAATTCAAGAGTTTGAGAGACAAAGGGAAGAGGAAAGACTAAAAAAAGAAAGAGAAATGGAGAGAATGAGGAAAGAAAAGGAAGAAGAAATGGAGAGATTGAAGAAAGAAAGAGATTTGGAAGAAGAGAGGAGAAAAATTCAAGAGTTGGAAAGACAGAAAGAGGAAGAAAGGCTGAGAAAAGAAAGAGAAATTGAAAGAATAAGGAAAGAAAAAGAAATGGAAGAAGAAAGGAGGAGGATTCAAGATTTAGAAAGACAGAAAGAAGAAGAAAGATTAAGAAAAGAGAGAGAAATGAAAGAAGAAAGACAGAGGAAAGAAAGAGAAATGGAAGAAGAAAGACGAAGGATTCAGGAATTAGAAAGACAGAAGGAAGAAGAACGACTGAGGAAAGAAAGAGAAATAGAAAGAGTAAGGAAAGAGAAAGAAATGGAAGAAGAAAGGAGGAGGATTCAGGAAAAAGAAAGACTAAGAAAAGAAAGAGAAATGGAAGAAGAAAGACGAAGGAATCAGGAATTAGAAAGACAGAAGGAAGAGGAAAAATTGAGAAAAGAAAGAGAACTGGAGAGATTAAGGAAAGAAATGGAGGAAGAAAGACGAAGAATCGAGGAGATTGAAAGACAAAAAGAAAGACTGAGACATGAAGGAGAAAAAATGATGGCGATGGAAATGTGTAAATCAGCAGAGCGGCCGCAAGAAGTTCCTACGAGTTTTGATTTAATATCGTTTGACGTTGAAGAACCGTCGCCGCCTGTCTCCTCCGATTCCATGGATGTCGAAGTAATTTACGATGATTTTTCGGTAAAACCACAAAGATGGGGAACCAGAGTGAGAGATTCTCCAACAACATCTCCAACCAGAGAAACCGCTGACCTCAGTCTACAGCCACAATTAAAATACAGTACACCGGGACTCCAAGAACCAGCCGGAGATCGGGTACATGTAGAAAACCTAATCGGATTTGAGCCTGAAGCATCCAGTCCACAGAACACGTCCTATATACATACAGAAAACAGACATCCGTCTTCATCTGAGGAGGAAACTGAGTGTACGCCAGAAGATCTGCTGGAGCCAGAAACTGAATTAAATGAGGTAAGAGCTGTTCAATTTTGCAGTGTGCTTTACTTGTTATCTTTATTGGCTGTTTGGTTCACTTAATTGTTCAAAAACAGATTCATTCTTGAGCTGTTCTCAAAAATGGCCAGAAATTGTCACTGAAATAACAACACTTGAATAATATGATTCATCGATTCAAATGATTTGGATGATTTATTTAGAAACAAAATCTTTATTCACTTGATTTGTTTACAAATTACGGTGGCTGGGAAGTGCAAAACAACATTACAAAGTTTGAAACACTTTTACAAAGCTCGAGACCAATTTACATTTTGAAAAACATGTTTACCTATCATCAGACACAATTACATAGGAAAAACAATTTTACCAAGGACGAAACAAATTTACATTTTAGAAAACAAATTAACAAGATGCAAAACACTTTTACAAATCCCGAAACAAATTTACAATTACAGATTCCCTACGGAAAGGGAATGTACCACACCTCGGAAGTGACGTAGAATGTACCACACACTAGTATTGACCCGGAATGTAACACACACACTGGAAAATATCAATAATATCCAGCTAGTGTGTGACTTTGTAGACAGGTTTCCACAAGTCTACAACTATAAAAATCATGGTTTGACTAACTGCGATAAAATAAATTAGAGCTATTCTGAGAAAATATCAGCGTGAGAGTACATAAAAACATGGAAATGCAAGTCCATGAAAACGTTTAAAGCACGGCACATGTTGACTGATAAAGATACCAAAACCAATCTCAACCTGTACACCGAAGTAGCTCAGTTGGATAAGTCGGTTGATACTCGTGTAGAACCTTTTGACTTGGGTTCGAATCGTGTTGATGACATATTAATTATAATTATTTCTTTAGATTAATTTTGGTTTATGCTGTTCTGCCACACAAATATTAAATCAACAATGATACACTGACACCAAGTAATAAGAATCTTTATTCGGTATGAGCATGTTTTGTTGCTGTGAAAAAGTGACGAATCTGTTAATCTGCAAACGTGGATAGTTTGCACATCTGAAAAGGGGCCTCAGTTAACACGGACACCAGTTAAACCATAACACAGACTTCCTTCAGTTTACTGTTAAGAGTCCTCAAGCAGAGGTTTACACCGTGTAGACTTGACATCATGTTCATGATTACAGCGTACTGAGGGGATCTCGTAAAAATATTGAACACATTGATGCAGCATGTCTGGCGTTTCCGTCTGATCCGCGTCCTTTATAAACTCTAAACACCGACAACACGCAAAGCAAAACAGTGTTAAGTTGCACATGTGTTTGCCACAAAACGGGCAAAACAACCCTCGACCGCTGTCCATGTTCGGTCACCATAATCTTTGTTTACGCCATGTACTCCACAGAGCGAATTTACCGCGCTCACCAGCAACAACAACAACGTTTCCCCGCGTCACTACCGGTGTGTGGTACATTCTACGTCACTTCCGAGGTGTGGTACATTCCCTTTCCGTAGGGAATCTGTAATTGTAAATTTGTTTCGGGATTTGTAAAAGTGTTTTGCGTCTTGTTAATTTGTTTTCTAAAATGTAAATTTGTTTCGTCCTTGGTAAAATTGTTTTTCCTATGTAATTGTGTCTGATGATAGGTAAACATGTTTTTCAAAATGTAAATTGGTCTCGAGCTTTGTAAAAGTGTTTCAAACTTTGTAATGTTGTTTTGCACTTCCCAGCCACCGTAATTTGTAAACAAATCAAGTGAATAAAGATTTTGTTTCTAAATAAATCATCCAAATCATTTGAATCGATGAATCATATTATTCAAGTGTTGTTATTTCAGTGACAATTTCTGGCCATTTTTGAGAACAGCTCAAGAATGAATCTGTTTTTGAACAATTAAGTG